GGGGGGGGGGGGGGAGGAATGTGCAGCCTGCCTAGTTAACTTGTAAACCGCCCAGAGAGTGCTTGAAGTGCTATGGGGCGGCATATAAGCAGCACACTTTGCTTTTGCTTTGCTTTCCAGACTAGTTTTGAGAATTGCCCATGAGCTTCTGCTAAGAATAAGCTTGCATAGGAAAACTTTGCCCATCTAGAATACTTCAAGCAGTACTAAACAAATTTGTATAGTAGATGGGGGGACACCTTAATGTAATTTAAGCTGTTAAAATGCTTTAAATGTTATATTCCTTTTTTTGTAGCATTCCCACTTATGGATGCTATTGGCCCTGGGTCTTGGAGCAAGAAAGAAGCATAAATCACTGGCATTGGTAAGTTAATTTCTAACATGAGTGAATAAACTTGGCTTTTAAATATCATTTTAACAGACATCGAAATTTCAGATTTACGTAGAAATGTATGTTTTTGTATTTGTCATGCTGAGTCTCAAATTCAAATTGGAAATGTTTATTGATTTGTATATGCAGGTTATATACTGTACAAATATCAGTAACAGTTATTCTACTTTAGCTATAATCTTACCAACAGTGTCCTTCAGATCACAAACCAGTCTGACCCTACTCCAACTCCATGCATGGTCCAAATGTTTTTGGTGCAGCAACAGTCCTGTTCTTTCTTGGGGTGGGCTGGTGCTAATTCACCTGTCCTTTCTATATGAACAGACCCATAATTTTTTACATTGTTTACACCAGGAGAGAGAATAGGCCTGAAGTTGTGAGCTACATGTGACTTCTTGTCTTCATGCTGGAATGTCTAGCTTGAGCCTACCTACTGTGGTTGAAATCCATCACCGTATTCCAGTGACTTTCTTTTATGTCATGATGGTGTATCTTTGACTGCATTTTATACCAATACAAACCGCAAATGTTAATCTTTGAAACTCCCGGGCATTTTGGGACTAGGTCATTTTAAGGGCTGCCTTCAACTAATTAATCCTGCAAGAATGCTAAGATCTGCTTCAGAGGCGTTTTCTCAGTGCCTGCTGCTGAGATTGGTTCAGTTCCTGTGCACAAAGACATAGGACCTTCTGAGAACTAATTGTACTGACTTGTCCTTTCCATCACCAGTAAAGATTCTTAGGCAACCTTTGAAGAGTTTCGTCTTCTGTGTTGTGAGATACAGGTGTATGTTTGGTGGAGGCTGGTGACTTCAGTTTTGTGGGGGTGGATTTATTCTAACCTGTTAAAGGTGCTGAATATATTTTGGGGATAGAGTTCAGTGCCTTGTATAGCTCCTGTAAAATTCAGACTAAAACCCAGAAAAGAACTGTGATTCCCCATGAAATCAGAGAGATGAACCTCCACTGTGTGTGTTACATAACAATTTCTCAAACTAGTCCATGTTCTCATTCACCAATGTAGCTCTGATATCCTTGAATCTTCCATTGCTCATTGCTTTGCAAAGGCCATCATTCTAAGAAATGCCTAAAAATATTTGTAATAACATAGTGTCTCAACAATTGAATATGCACCCTGCTTCAACATACTGTACTGTTAGTTTGTTTTTCATATTTTCATTATTAACCGTTGGTTGAGCTTTACCTTGCTCATCCTGTAAGAGAAAGACATTTGATAAGCGAGTGAGTAAATTAATATACAGTAATCCTGTGTGCTGTGTGATGAGAAAAAAACAAAAACAAAACCTGGATGCAAGTTTCAGAACATGCTGATGGTGAGTTAATACCAATCACCAATCTGGAGGGCCATGCATTCACCATTGCTGCTCTAGAAAAGTGTACCAAAAGTAGCCATCTCTAAGAAGACCAGGAAGCACCAACACAAGTTAAGTAGGGTGATCATTAGAACTGATGAGATGGCCGGATTACATGGGACTGTGCATTCTTAGAAGCCCAGGCCTGTTTTATGCTGGAAAATGTCACTTGAGAAAACAGATCCAAAACTGATGGAACAAACAAATCATAATACTTTGTCCTAGCGTAACAAAAAAAAAAGTTGTATAGATGGAGCCTTGATTTTTTTATTTTGTTTTCACTGTTGGTTAGCCATTCCACTACTAAAAATAGCTCTCTCCCTTAGGAAAGGCCCCGTGTTTCCAGATTTTTGCACTCTGTAATGCAAATGCCACCCTCTCCTCACCCCACAACTTCCAGACACAGCTTTGAATCCTGCTGAATAATGCCTCACCATCCTCCAGTGTGATGGGGACTTAAAATATCTCCTTCCACACAAGGAAGGTTTACCTATTTTCTTTTCTTTTCTTTTCCTCACCCCCAAAACTAAATATCTCAAAACTGCTGGGATAAAGAATCCTATGGGAATAGATATGCTAAAAGCATCAAATAAAGCTATTCCACTAGGGGGTACTTAAGTGAACAATCTGGCTTAGTAGCTGAGCTGGTAAAACACCTGGAAAGTAGCCAAGGTTATCTCAAGGTAGGTCATCCCATTGTTTTCCTGTAACAATTTATGTTTGGATTTTTTTTTATACAGAGGCAGGTTTTTTTTTTCCAGGCTGATATTACTGGAGAAATCTGCTCTTATCTCTGTGTGAATTACAGCAGCCTTTTCACTCAGAATTAATTGTACCCTTAGAGGGGCTTAGTGCATAATCTCTGGTCTATGATCTTCACTTGTCAAGTTGAGGTCCCCATGCACCAGGAGTTTGGAAAGCTCAGCTCAAGTGGGAGTTTTCCTTTTGCACAGTCGGTTCGGGCATTGTTGCAAAATTTGGCGTGAGTGCAGAATGCTTTCTTTCGAGGGCAGGCCTATTACCACAAATAGAATGGAGATGAATACTGTGCACACGCTGTCTCCCGCAGACAGGGGGCCTTTTCATTTTAGGCTTAAGTCAATTGCTAGGATTCTGTCGGGAAGCTGCCTCTGTAGGGGTTGGGAGTCACTCTGCGCACTCCGAGTCAGTGAGAAAAAAGGCTGCCCCAGTTTGATCTTCTTGAGAGTCACCGATCCTTTATTTTTAGAAGTGAAAACAAAGTCACTTCCTTATGTGAGCTGCTGAGAAGTAGCACCTGCAATGCAGGATAGTCTCAAATTTGCTTTCCTCCCCTTCTTCAGTGGTTTCGTGGGGGAAATTTCCCCTGAATTCTTCAAACTCCAACATCTAAGATGAGGGATGGGTGCTTTCTGTTATAATTCCCTCCAGAGCCTTTGTTATTTACCATTTTGTCTTTTGAAATATTCTTACTACGTATTGTTCTTTTGCCCTACTTCCTTACTGTTAACTGCCTTGGTGGTCTGTTGTTGGGCAGAAAGATAGTATACACACACTGTATTCTGGAGATAGACAAAGAAAAAAACAGAGAGAGGGAGATTTTGTTTAACCTGTTTCGCATGCTAAAAAAACAGGCAATTTCTTTTAGGACTATCATATTTTAAGAATGACAAGGTGGCTTGAAGCCGCACTTACTGCTTCAGTGTTCTGATTTAAATTCTGGAGGTGGGAAACCAAACACGCTCACTGCTCTGCCATTTTCCAGTATGTTGGGAGTTTGGAGGATGCTCATGGTGGTCACCTACTTGATGGTTTCAAGTCAGCACCCCACCCCCAGCTGTGGAACAGTTTTGCAAATCTTTTTAATATGTTTATGACTTTTTCTCTTTATGGTGAGGTGAATATGCGTGAATAACAATGCAGCACCTCTGTTTCTTTCTTAGGAAGCAACTACACATGTATTTATCCTGCTGTTTTATCCTCTGTTCCACACAGGCCCTTCTGCTATTTATTCTGTCAATTACACAACATCAGCATTATAATTGTGAGTAGGTTGAATATTTTGGCATTAGTATACAGTTTACTTTATTTCAGTGGCAGGTTTGTGGAGTATAGAATAATTGAGTAGGAAAGGGCTTATAAGGCCATCAAGTCCAGCCCCCCCCCCCACTAAATGCAGGAATCTAAGTCAAAGCAGATCTGACAGATGGTTGTCCAGTTTTCTCATGAAGGCCTCCAGTGCTGGAGCACCCACTACCTCCCTACCTCCGAGGTCATGAATTTCATTGTCGTACTGCTCTAACAGTTGATAATTTTTTCCTGATTTTCTGCTTAAATCTGCCTTCCTGTAGTTTGAGCCCATCCTGCACTCTGGGATGATTGAGAACAGACCCTACCCTTCTCTATATGACTATGTTTCAATTACTTGAAAAGTATTCTTGTACCATTTCTGCTTGCATTGTTTTGTCTCAGTTTTGGCTAGTGTGATTGCCTGTATCATTCTTTGGGTTTGCGGTTGGTCATGTCCTAATGGCATCATTGACAGTATGCAGAGTGGGGCATGGTGTGGGGCTGAAACCTACTCCTTTTGCTAGCTCTCTGTACACATTGGTAATGGCTAGAACTGGACTGCAATTTTAAGTTATATGCAGAAATATATTTCTCTTGGTTTGTGTGGTGCTACAGTACTAAACCGATTAAAGTACTGATTCTGATGCTTACTATGTCTAGAAAATGCAGTGAGATGCTTGAAACATATTTTCTTGGGATAGTTAAGCATTTCTGTATGAATAACGACAGCAATTTAAATAGGTAAGTTCACATCAACTGTGAACAACTCCCGTGTGGTTATTGATGGGTGGGTTAAAAATCCAATAAATAAATAAATAAATACCCACCCACCCCACCCCCGTGTGTGGGGGGGGCAGAGGTAAGGTGAGATTGGTACAGTACATGGATTGGCAGGATGTCATTCAAGGCTCAGTCCCCCTAAGAAAGTCATGGAAGCTTTATAAAATATTTTGTTCATATATTTGTTTGTTAAATATATGTAATGTATATTTTCATTGTAATGTGACCCAAACAAATTTCTCCTACATCTCTAGTCAGTGGCCGTAAGGTCTTTTGAGACCTTATGTAGGGACACTGATGTTTCATTCTTCCCGCCTGATGAAAATCTTTACTGTGCCTCTTTTAGATGTAGAGTTCACAAAGAAAATGAAAACATTGTGGTGGTCGAGTGTTTCTCCTAAAGAGTATATTGTTGACGCTTTCAAAATCGTCTATAGTGGGGCTAGCTTGCTGGCTGCTACCACATGATGAGAAGCTCCTCTGTCTTAGACTAAATGTGCTTATATTTTCTTTATCTCACATACACTGAAGGATATGCCTGCTGTTCGTTGCCAGTACCTACTACGTTATACATTCGTTTGAAATCTGGTTTCCAGCTTCTACTGGAGAACAGTAGAGCAGCAGCAGTCATTACATACATTTCAACTTAAATCTGTATTGGGCTTGACAAGACAGTAATATATTATATTATATTGTAGGTGGCTCTGCAGTATGTTTCCCTAAATACAGCAAAAGCAGAGGCACTAGAAGTGGAGGTGGCTTATGTTGTAAA